TTTCAGATACTACTGCACCAAGTTTTAATTAATTTCTAATATCTGATCGAGTCAATCTGTGACGAATATCTGCATCTCCATTACGGAATCTATTACCGATCAATTGTGATTTTTAATCACGTCGTTAAAACGTTACCAATACGATACTGTAAAAACGAGTCGCAGTCGAAATCATAAAACCTGCGGCGTTGGTTTATCTCGAGGTCCCTGTTGGTTCCAGCGCTAGGAAGATTCGTGCTCGTCGCGACGCTCTTTTTTTCCGATGGTCGTCGCCGACGCCTCACTATATTCCGTGTCGCGTCGCCTCTCGACGAAGTTAATCGATGCTCGCCCTTAACGAGAGACGTAAATCTATCGCGTAAATTCTATAAATTGTAGAGTGGAGCTGGCGCAGCTGTTCGCCCGGTTACTTTATGACGTGCACGAGATTAAAATCAATTTATGGCGCCAATTCCTCCCGACGTCTAATTCGAGACGCGCCGGATTCCAATCGATACCTCTGCGACGATTGATTTTCCCCAACGTTTCCGCGGCCAGTTTCTGATTGCGCGATTAGCGCCCTGGGAATTATGCATTAGCTGTGATTCTAAACAATTATCGAACTCTGGAAAACTTCAGCACTCAGAATATTAACACATTGCGGACGGGGCTCTGCGCGTTCAACACGCCCTCAAAGACCGCACATTTTCGAACGCTCCAAAAACATGCTTGGCAAGTAACAGGAAGCGGATACGCACATTTCTAATTTGCATTTAGTATTCTTAAATAATACTATATATACATAGTTTATATATCTGTTTATTATATAAGATTTTTTACATTTTAACTATTATTTATTATACAAATTTGAATATTGATTCAGAGTGGCTATAATGACTGATCATTTCTACATGCTTGGAATGATTCATTTGTTTCGCTAAAATTACTTAGGAATGCGGGAGGCTTCGTTACCATGGTTACGTAACAGAAATATTTGCGGCTGGTTGCTTGTTGCCGATTAAATAAAAAAAACATGAAAACGAGATATCTCGTGACCCGTCCGCAACGTTCAATTTGTTAAAAACGAGATATCTCGTGAGCCGTCCGCAATGTGTTAATAAGACATTCCGTGGTTCCTGTGATTTATTCAAATACAGTCATTTACGGGAAACGCGTCAGGAATTTTATAAAAATGCGGATGAAGAAGAAGGCGTCGAAGAGCGAACGTCGTTGACTAAAAATGATTTTAGCTACGAAACAAATTCATGAAATACAAAATTTGGAACACTAATGATGTTCATTTGCATTTCCAGTAACCTTTCTATCACAACTTAATAAATGCTTCCTTAACACGTTCCGTGCCGAGCTTTTTTTACTCGAATCTTCACTCTTTGATATTTTACTAAAACTTGATGTATTACGTGCAATTATTAATTCTCGTACACATAACAACGTAACAAAAACTTATCAACGCCCATTCTTGCGGTGGAAATTGATTCTTCGGTTCTAAATTTCTTGTAAACAATTTGTTCAGTTCGCTAAGTAAACATGCAAGCGTGTACCATCGATGGTACACGTGGCACGGAACGTGTTAATAATACAGAAACGCCGTTCAATAGGATAAATAACTGTAGCACGATTTCGTTTATTCGAACTCCATCTATGCGAACGAAATTTTCGTCAGTGCCCACTTTTGCGATCGAATTGCACGAACTGTTTAGTTATACGAAATGATTGTTCCCCGACGAGTTCACATAAATGGAGCTTCATCGTAGATGCAAATGCATACGCACGAATGTCTCTACGCTGCAAGAAAAAAGTTCAACCTCCCCGATTAGTTCTCCCACGCTCAGAAGAGCAATGGTTCCTTTCAATACGTGTCTCTTTGATAGTACCTTTGCCCTACGGTCGCTTAAAGTTCTAATTTCGCGAGAAATTGGTCCTCGTGTATGTCACGAGCACACTAAATTAACAAAGAAATAGTGTTGAACGGTGTAAAATGTATTAAATGCAAAACTATGTTTCATTTTGTGTGCGTGCTCGAGAGCTTCCACCACGAAGAAATCAAGAAAGGAATCATTCTTTTATTAAGTGAACAATTAAGCAATTAAGTGAACATAAAAGTAAAAATTGATATAAAACTTTGGAACAGTGAATATAGATGAATAAATGTATGTATTAGGAGTTAAATAACAAAATTGCTCCGACGGAGCAAAAATGAAAATTGAATATTTATTTCTTATTCAAAAATAGTATAGTTAGGGTAAGTCGGGAACAGTTCGACCACCTTCTGAAAACATTCATAACTCTTTTGTTTCTTAAAATTTTATTGTTTCAATCAAATCAGTGTAATGATTTAGTAAAGCGGAATGTATTTTTTCATTTTCAACAAAACGCAATAATATCGCAAATGAACGATATCATCCACGCGTGAGACCGATCTTAAATAATAATAAAAGATATAACTTACCAAAAATATAATAAATGTGAAAAATGATAAATAACAAAATGTTTCTGGATCATTTATCATAATACCAGCAACTCCAACGACAACATTTAATCCAATCTTCAGTTTTTGTGGTTTGAAAGTAGTCATCAGATGTGTTTTTTTGACAATCGCAGACAATCAGATACATACATATATGCAATACACATGCAATAAAAAAAATAGTATTTTATGCATATAACCTGTAATAATAAAGAATAATAATAAGTAATTTCCAAATAATATAAAGCAAACCTTCAATTAAACCTTATATATTAAATTACTACGTAATGAAATCCAGACTTGGGTCAGCATGGACCCTGAGTCCGCCGCACGCGGTCATAAACGGTCCGCCATGCGAGGGTTTAAACGTGAAAAGAAGAATCGCGGACGTCATTCCGTGACTCTTATTAGAGGATCTGTCGATTTTAAATATTTACAATACCATTTGTTGACGCGTTTTTAAGATACAGCGGACCACAAAAATGTTCGTACACCTTTTAAAACGCAATAACTATTTTAAAACTAGTTGGTTAACCCAAAGTCGAGCTACAGGCGTTGAAGGATTTTGAAAACTGCAGATTTCTTACAGTTTTTGGTCAAAATCGTAATAAAACTGTGATTTTTGCGATCTTTAATTTGTTGTGACTCACGACAACGTGAACCGATTTCGATAAAATCTTCAACACGTTTTTAAAATTTTCGCTATTGGCTTAAATAAAATAGTTAAAAACGAGAGATTTCTATTTTTTTATCATTCCATGTAATAGCAAAATTTCAGAAGAAAATCATTTCAATCATCGCCTAGATGACTAGTCTCGCTATCATCTAAAAAAAATTCAAGTCATTTAGTTCAGTCTTAAAAAATTTTTATTGCGTTTTAAAAGGTGTACGAACACTTTTGTGGGCCACTGTACTTATACTATTCGATTTCTCCTGGACTTGTCTTATCATTAAACATGCAAAAATAAGTCGAAATAGAAGAAGAGCATTTTTTCATTTCAGACTCCATTCTCGAGAAAACTGAGTTGAAAGATGCGTCAAATTCGCGTGGCTTGTAATATGACGAGAAGTAGAATTGGTATATCATGACCAGACACAAAGGTTGATTCTCCTATTCAACAGTACTACATTTTCAATCTAATTATTCTGAAAAACGGAGCCTTAAATAAACAAATGTTATTCCTTTTTCTTGACTTATTTTTTCATATAGAATCACTCTCTTGCCGGTTGTACCCCGATTTTCCGAACACCCTGCATATTCTTAAGTAAAATACGAATGTCAGAAATACACAATAGAATGTCCAGTTTGATAAACCACGATATCGTTGGAGACATCAGTTCACCTTCAATCGTCATACGTCACATCTAGAAAATTTGAATCTCCACGAAGATCCGCAATGTAGTTATTATTAACACCGTAACTCACGAAGAAAACGATAAAAGCCCTCTCAGCGAAGGAATGGTATAAGGGGTTCATAGGTTTAATAATTCAGAGTGACGGAGCTACCGAAATTTTGACCATTTCCCGCCATCCACCTCTCCCTCTGCAACTCGCATAAATATCCCCGGTTTATTAAACAACCGCGACCGATCCACCTCCTTTTCTCTATTCGTGTTCTGTAGTTTCCAACTTTTCATCGGTTCACTTCGTCCCGGCTACACAACGTTGCCCCCCTTTCAAGCTTTAACTTTGTCGTAGGCTCGACTACCATCTTTCTCCGCGAGTTCATTGCATATTAATGACCGCCGGAACTATTTATCCGTTCTCCCTCGTTCGCAACGCGAGTTTAAGGACTTCCTGCAGGCGGATGCATTTTCTATGAGAGGAGAAACTAGGTTTCGGGGTACATTTCTTCTCCAGCTAATTAGCATGTGTAAGCAGCTGCGAATTAGCTTACAATTGTTCGCATCTCATTCGAAAAATCGTTTGCTTCCCGATTTTTGTCGAACCGGTAAACTGCACGGGGCAAAATCTCACGCGCGTGAAGGTACACAACGCGACAAAATTATAAGACACTCCGGTTTCCTTGTAAATTGTCACTCAACATGTAAACAGAAGTGGACAACTTAGGAAGTGTCGATACGATTTTTCAAGCTTCACGGCTCGTTTTTATAGTTGTACTACAAAATATAACGACAGTAGTCGTTATAGTAATAAAAACGAGTCGCAAGGCTCCAATAATCCTACCTTCTCTTCCCAAATAGTCCATTTTTGTGCACAATCTGAGCGGCAATTAGGTAGAATTTACCGTACCTAGAATTGTGCAGTGTTCCGAAACAGGAAATGCTTGAGCTTTCGTCCGAGGAGCGTATATAGGCGAAAATGTAACGGAAAATATAGGTGATTCCGGTATGGCGAGGGGAATATTTAATATTGGAAGCACGCAAGGTATCAGAAAACGGATAACTGGGTCGAGTGAGGACAGAGATGTAAAAAGAGGAGGCAAGCGGCCGGACGGTGGAAAATAAGAAACTCTGCAGGTGGGCGGTCCTCGTCAAAGTAACGCTTTAATATGGATGTGTGATTTCCCAGGTGGGCTGTTTCATCCGTCGGACGACAAGCAGAAAGTGGCCTTTCGTTATGCCGTGGAAAAGATCAACGCCAACCGGGACATCCTGCCCAAGTCTCGTCTCAGCGCCCAGATTGAGCAGATAGAACCGCAGGACAGTTTTCACGCTTCCAAGCGCGGTGAGTGCTCCATTCACGCTCGTTCATTCCGCAATTAAACTCGTTCGTTCCGCCTGGTACCCGCACCGACGCGGCTCTGCTCGACTCGGCTCTGCTCGACTCGGCTCTGCTCGACTCGGCGCGCGTACCTTTGGATAGGTTGCCATGCGAATGCGAATGTTTGCACCGGCGAGAAGCGTTTTCAATTTTCCCGCGCGTAAACAACGGACTCCTGTAGTCGCCTGATCATTGCGGCTCCGTTCTACTTGTTGGAAGCGTTTCACCCGGAGTTTCGCTGGCACGCTGGGGTCATAGATATTCCGGGATAGTTATGACTCGGAACAAGAATTGCTGTAATCACGCCTAAACGGCAAACGAGAAATGGAAACAATGAACTGGCTGTTCTGAGAATGATTGATTTATTATTCTTTTAACCCGATCTCGACACTAGAAGTCGTTGTGGTTTCCACTTTCGATTCCGTATCGGTAGAATTAGGTTCGCAGTAGACGGTAGCAATTAGCATTACAGTTAATACTCTTTTCTTCAAATTTATCACTTCGTCTTACGATATTATATTAATTTTCTTTCACATCTACAAAATTTCTTGTACACTCGAACGTTGACATATTTTCAAATGGAAGAAATTTTTGAAAATTGTCATTGAAATCTTGACATCTGATAAAATTTTCATATAGGGTCAAGTTACCGAATATGACGACCTCATTTAATATGAAATCCTAGCTTATTTCCGTTGTAGTTGTTCCGAGTGTCACATCACTTCTTTGCTGCGTATTAACTCGCATCTTTCGTCTGCTTGAAAAGTTTTTGAAGGAGTTCGATTATATTACAAATATCTTAAAAATGGTAAGTGTATAATTATTTTTATGAATGCTATTGTATATTGCATTCAATCAAGTTTCAGATTTATTAGTTATATACTGTTAAAGATTGAAGAGTCGTTAACAAAATTCGTTAACATTTGACATGTTATTGTTTCCAAATATATGAGACCGATGGAAGTTCTTATTATATTGCTAAACCAAAAAATACAATTCCAATAGAAGCAATAAAATAAGTCGTACGGAAAGTGATAGTTTAACACATGTTGAAAAAGAAATTATTTTAAATGATGAAGTTGATTATGAAGAAAATGTTTGTTCAGATGTACATGGTGAAAAATAGGTTCAATGTACAAAGTGTTATCGATAAGCCCATGAAGACTGTGACGCTGAAGAAACAAATTTTATATGCTCAGTGTATAAAAAAGGGCAATGGAAATAAATTTCCTGAAAAAACCCAATTGAGTCTCCTATTACAGACTCATTTTTCAATTCTGTGAATTTAGGGGTTACTGTTCCACTTAAAAGAACAGAATTGACCTTCATATCTCCTCGACGCCTCCACCTACAGAAAAATTGGTAATACCAGATTATATATATGAGCCCCCCGATACCAAGTAAGTTTGGTCTAATGCATTTTCTCGTATCTTCAAAAACCAGCAAGTTATTCAGGCGACCTGTTTAAAATGCCCCACCCTATATAAGATAATATAATTAATCGGTTCCCGTTGTAGTCCCTGAAAATTGCTTTCAAATTACGAGCACAAAGGTCGGTTTATGTAAGAACAATAATAGAGTTATTATAACTGCAGTTAAAGTTTAATTATGTTACGCAATAATTTCGCGTAACAATGAGTTATTTCTCTTAATGCAATGCTCCCGGCAGTCTGACGACCTATCTTGATTCGAAATAACGAAGATCCGCTTCATTGTTACAAGCTTCCGCGCATCATCATTCAAAACAGAGATTATTGCGAAGTTTTGTGAAGTTTTTCGTAGAGATTTTTCATACGGAAATTACAACGTTCGCGCAAAGTAATGTGCAGTTTCGAAATAGAAGTTATGCCAAATACAGCGAAACAAATGTAAAAACATGGAAACAACAATTAACTTGCCACGTGGGATGTATTAGGTCAATGATGTTATTCCTTTTTCTTGACTTATTTTTTCATATAGAATTACTATGATTATATATGATGATGATGTATTTAATCAACTATTGTTCTCTAACGTTTTTGCGCGCTTCCAGTGCATTCGAATTAACTGTGAACGTGCACGTGAAAAGTTTTGCGAACTGTAACAACCGTCCAGTTTCACGGAACGTTCTTTCTTTCTTTCTTCTGATGCTGTGTTAACTGATTTTTATAAATTGTTTGATAATTGCGTTCGGCATTTTGTTACTATTATTACGAATTCCATTAACTCCGCTCATCGCGCATTGCAGCAGTTTATGTATTAGGTTCACCGGTATGTTCTGTCCGTTTGAGAAATGAAAGGAAATAATAGATTTTGTATAAATTTAGTAATATTTATATATTGTACAATATAATTTCCGTCGTTACTTGTGACCTCTTGCCAGCGTGACGGCGATTTGTGAGCAACATTTTTCAAAAATATATGTCTCAAATGAACATGTTCATACCTATCGAAATTTGCAATAACATTATCGGACAGAACTATCCGGTAGACCTAATGTTTACAGAATGCGATTCAATTACCAAAATCAACCAGTAGATACCCTTCTCACATGACGCGGCCCGTTTCACGCAATTAGCCTGGTCTTCAACTTTGTTCTCCCTAGTTCGAAACTCGGTTCGCACGCTCGAAATTATTTACAATAGGCTTGCAACGGCAGCTGCGTTTTCTTCGAGATATCGTAAAGGTAATTCAACTTCCATAGAATTCTCTCTTCGCTGGTTCGGATTCCCCGAGTATTCCCGAGCCTAGTGCGTTTCAAACTATTTTCAAACTTGCCCCATTGTTCGTACACGGAAAATAGAGTTGCACCTTCGCACTGCAGATTTCCCGTGTCAGTTTACGCTCTGTATCTTGCTTCCGTCAATGTTGCGTGCTGCCTACAAATAAACTTTTGTAACGCTGTTACCCCACCGCCCGTTCTTCTCATCAGTCGCTACATTGTGCCGGGCGCAACGACGTTTTCGAACGTCTCTGTTATTTTTCGATATACATACGTACGAAGAAACTTCGTTTTCGAACGTTGCGCGACACCGCAGAGCTCTAGTGACGATTTTTTCACGAACGAAGAGAAACAATCGTGTTTTTTAAATCGAGTGTTATACTTTTGTTAAACGAAACAAACGAGCTGATATTTAGACCGTTTCTATTCAGAACGACGCACAATTAAACCAGGGATGATAAAAGTTGTGGAACTGATTGATAAGTACTATAATATTTATAATAATAGTTGTGGAACTATTTTTCGACAAAATTCTTGCCTTTAAGTTCCAGCGGGGAATATATAAAAGGATGTTTTTGGAAGCAAAAATTTGCAGTCAAAGAGAGTAACGGCGCCAGTTACTGTGCGGTAACCAATTTCTGTGCCTTTGGTTTATTCCGGGCAAAATTAACTCTATATTTCTCTGATATGATTATATTCATGTCAAAAATACTGATTAACTTTTGTTTTTTCGTAAAACTGTCGAATAGAACATCTCGTATAGGAGAAAGTTGTTCAGTACGATGAGTTTAACAACATATTTCAAGGTAATTAGAATCGATGTTGAAGCCTCTATTCCGAATAATTACAAATAATGGAGATTTATCTCCATCTCAAAAACTGTTCTTGATTCCGTCTTTATTAAAATTGCTAGTTGAAATCTAGAATTCGCTAAGAAATGTACGGAATCGTGCACGAAAAAGTCGATCATAACATCAATCCGACAGTTGCAAGCTGTATTCCCCAAACGTAAAGTCATCGTCTGTCACACTTACCAGCAAATATATCTGCCCATAATTATGAAAGTGGTCTAAGTCAAAATTTAGAAAAAAATGAATTTATCACTTATTTCACACGACATGATTTTAAACTAAATTTATTCAATGTAATTTTTACGATATCGTCAAAAATGAACCTTTAGATAGTAGTTGTAATTACAACGTTATACGGAATTCATTTAGTGTTAATTATGAAAGTGGTCTAAGTCAACAATTTAAAGAAATAATATAAACATAACTTGAAAATACCGCGTGGAGGATATCTTAGCTTCTCAAAAACACGTAATAGCCTACAGTGATGCTTGTTCAGGCCAAAATAGCAACATTAAAGTAGCATTGACATGGCTGAAAATTGCCCAGTCATCGAATAATAATATTGAAACGATAGACCACAAATTTTTGGTATCGGGTCATTCCTTTCTACCGAATGACCGTGATTTTGGTTTGATAGAGATGAAAATAAGAAAAGCAAATTACTTATACAATCCTGTGAACATTACTATGAATTGATCGAAAATTGTAGAAAAAGAAATACATTTTCGATCAACGAATGTCGCAGCCGGATTTTATTTCAACGAAATCACTTGAAAAATCAATAACAAGGAGAGTAAAAAATACCGCGGGCGAATCTGTCTCTTGGCTAAAAATTCAATGGATGAGATTCTTGAAAAATGAACCTTATAAAATGTTTTATAAGACTTCTTTAGATGATTCTGAATTCCAAGTTTTGGATCTTTCACCTAAAAGAGGAAGACCAAAAATATACGAAAATATTCAATTACTTCCATTATACAACACCACTAGACCAGTAACGGAAGAAAAACATAAAGATCTTATGTGTTTACAACCATACATCCCTCCAGTTTTTCAGGAACATTTTAAAAATCTTAAAAACTCGAAATTATGATAAAAATGGATTTCTTTTTAAAAATGATTAATAAATGTTTATGAATTATTTCGTTAAAGTTGTTGTTTCAAATGGACCGTTTATTTTGAAAGTGGTGTAAGTTCTTTTTTTTAAAGAAATTCAAAATGCCGAATCTGAGCTTGTATCGTCTAAATACCCCACGCAACGCCACATACAATTTCTTCCGATGACATTGGACTTACACCACTTTCAAAATAAACGGCTCAAATAAAAATCACATTTTTTTATTACTTTAAGTCAATTATAGGACATTCAGTTAATTTTGAAAATGGTCTAAGTCAATTCAAGCTTTAAAAGCAACATTTTCCTATGAAATTCACACAAAATTTCATATCTATAATAAATTTCCATGAATCAAGACTAATAAAATTATAAATTAAAATGTCGCATAATGTAAAAATATTTTTTAATCCATTCAAATGCGATTCATTAAATATCTCGAAACAAGAAATATATGACTTAGACCACTTTCATAATTATGGGCACATATATCTGCGTCGCGACTGACGAAAAATTAAAAATACCCCGTTAATTTACAGCACCCGAACCGGCGATATTGCTGATTGCCAGCACAAATATTCCTCGTGGATTCCCTTTCATAATAAAGCCGAGAAAAGATTGCGAGGATAGGGGCGAGGTAGGGCGGCATTAATTAAAAGCAAACGTCGTTCGTTCTTTGGACGGTATTAATTACGAGCAAGTCGGTCGGCTCGATTTGAAGCCGGTATGAAACGAAAGTAATTACACGATTAAACGGATTAGGAGTAATTGTTACCGAACTGACGGGACGACGCGGGACACGACGCGACGTGGCGTTGGAATACGACGCTCCGGGCGATTAATAATCGCTCGGTTACGGGAGCGCCGCGAAACGCGATAATTATTTTCACGCGACATAATCAGCGGCGAGCTAATTGTCGACTCGAGGCACCGATTTATTAAACTCGGTTATACGCTGTAAACGTTGCTTGTCGCGGCGAGGACCGGTAGCATCGGCGACCCGTTAAGCTCCCCGCGAGTATCCACGGATTGGCCGCTTCCCCGTTCGATGGATCGAGATTTGGCAGTGTTCCATGGATACACCAGCCATGCCACGCCATACCGGCCCCGTTGACAAATCTGTGTTTGCAGCCGATCATTTCGCCCGGCCGTAAAAACGAGACGGCCGCACCTAATGCTGCGGCCCAGTAAACTGTTTCGATTTATGGCGGGTCTTTCTTCAACTTTATCTCGTTCGCGAACGCTATATCGCAATAACGTCACCCGGAGACCGACGATGTAGGGACGTCCCTCCAAGAAAGATGAACTTTGCTACCCGGATGCACGCGCGGCCCAGATATTCGGGTGTCGCCTGAATCATTCGGAAAACGTCTCCGTAAATCACACCAGATGAAGGAACCATCCCTCATTTCGAGCTTTGGTAAACGAATATTGATTAGGCGGCATACAGTGCCGCCTCTGCATTATCCGGCACTCGAGCTTCGGTACGTTGATTAACCGACGCTTTCTGAGGAAACTGTGCATTGTTACGTGTGTAAAATAGTACTACGTGAAAAAAACATTAGGAGACGTAACTGTTGTCACTAGGATGAATATGAAAATGTTAATTATTCTAGAGACGTGTCAATTATGTGTATGCGCGCGTAGACTATTAGGCTGCGATTATAGTGGATGCGTATTCGTACGAACTGGCGTTCCGACGAATAAGTTAAAACTGTTCATCGGACGATCGCGACAAATGATGATTACAGTGATGCGTTTTCATAGGAACTAGCGTTCTGACGAATTCCACACGCTATATCACATACGAGGCGATTTCCTTGATCAGACGTTCGTCTTCTGTAACATTCAGTATGGACGACTTTTATGTCAATATCCATGAGTTTTACTTCTTGGAGAATCCGGTTTGAAAAATTTCATTTTTTAAGTGATTCGTTAAGTGATAACATGGAGCAAGTGGATAAACTATTTCCATTATGGCCAATATATGGGGAATTTTACACATTATTTGAAGAACTTAAGAAGCAATCGGATAAGTTTCATGAGTACTTAATTTTATTAATCATTAAATGTAACTTAAGAAGCAATCAGATAAGTTTCATGAGTACTTAATTTTATTAATCATTAAATGTAACTTAAGAAGCAATCAGATAAGTTTCATGAGTACTTAATTTTATTAATCATTAAATGTAACTTAAGAAGCAATCAGATAAGTTTCATGAGTACTTAATTTTATTAATCATTAAATGTAACTTAAGAAGCAATCAGATAAGTTTCATGAGTACTTAATTTTATTAATCATTAAATGTAACTTAAGAAGCAATCAGATAAGTTTCATGAGTACTTAATTTTATTAATCATTAAATGTAATTAAAAGTGGAATTTTAAGGCCATTTTCGAATTTTCGGCCACGTATTCTACTGGAATAAAAGACTCGCGATCACATTAAGGTAAAAAATGTTTTCATTTTCACGATATTCGAATTAATATCAATAATTATCAATAATTAACTTAATACTGGTAACACTTAAACTTATATAAAAACTGCAGAATTAGTACTCTCGCATTTCCTCATCGTAAAATACCTATTATAATTTCATTCCTACTATTAATTTTCTCTCTGCTGGTACATTCCGAAGGAAATGAATCAAACTTAACATAAAATTACAATCAGCATTATCTTTATTATTCTCCTGTGTACTGTCCTTGGTGTTTCTCTACTTTTCTCATTCTTCTAACTTCTCCTTTTCTATTTGAATTATATTTTCTAAAATTGCTGATTTTTTATTTTTCTTTCGTTTGCGAGCATTCTCGACAGTTTACATCATACATTAGTCTCGACATGTAGCCTCCGTTTAATTCCTCTTCCGTTTGTTCAACACTTACTTCCTTCCTCTTGTTGAGTACTTCCGTTCGTGTTTGGTAATTCATGCACCTCCTCAACATTTCTTTCGGATGTAGATAGTACTTACGGAATACTGCTATGCAGCTTCCTTGATACAAAGTGACAAAAATTATCTTACTACTTAAATTCAGACTTCCGACAATTATTAAACTGTGTATTGTACAATGTGAATAATAATAATGCTTTAAATATCTACATTATCGTAAATATTATTACTATTGGTGTCCATTTCTCGACCAATCTTCTCCCATTTTATTTGAGTTCAATATGGGTTATGGTATTCTTTAGATTTTAAGTCCCATAAATACCGTCGTTCACAAATTAATTTTATTAATTCATCTGCGTCCATAATTATATTCATTTTTACGTACGCGTTAATGCGTGGGATCAAACTCGGTTGAAAAGCGTCCTGACGAATTTGTCGCATCGCATGTGCGCTATATATATGCGACATCAAAATCAATACTAAAACAATGAAATTATATTATTACTACACTGCAATTTACTTATGCATTAACATCCAGACACATTTCACGAAACAGAAATCGGCAATTGTTTATCACATGATGGATTAAACGTTCTGACGAATTCGTGGGTCTTCTGTTTTTAGGAAACGCACCCAATATAACTACTCGCATAAGAATCTGCATGAGTGATTGTTCTGATATGTGCCCATAAAATTATGAAAGTGGTCTAAGTCATATATTTCTTGTTTCGAGATATTTAATGAATCGCATTTGAATGAATTAAAAAATATTTTTACATTATGCGACATTTTAATTTATAATTTTATTAGTCTTGATTAATGGAAATTTATTATAGATATGAAATTTTGTGGGAATTTCATAGGAAAATGTTTTTAAAGCTTGAATTGACTTAGACCATTTTCAAAATTAACTGAATGTCCTATAATTGACTTAAAGTAATAAAAAAATGTGATTTTTATTTGAGCCGTTTATTTTGAAAGTGGTGTAAGTCCAATGTCATCGGAAGAAATTGTAAGTGGCGTTGCGTGGGGTATTTAGACGATACAAGCTCAGATTCGGCATTTTGAATTTCTTTAAAAAAAAGAACTTATACCACTTTCAAAATAAACGGTC